TTTATTTCATCTATTTCTTTTAAATAATTTAAATCCCTCTAGCTGTAGGTTTCATTTGTGGGTTTCATCCCACCAAGTTTTCATAATGGCAACAATATCATATCTACCCTCCTTTACTTGAATTTCTAATTTACCCTTTTTATTCCTCATACTCTGTTCATTGGTGCATAGACATTTGAGTGCATTTTGATACTGTCTACATAACCTGTGTTGTGCCTGACTGTCCCTACTTTCTTGCCACCTGTTTGATTAGTGCACATGGTATGGAATTCACTATTAAATGCTTGATTTTGCTTGACAGCAAGGTTGATAATCTTTCCTGCACAAAGACCTATCTTACATGCACTGATAACTCTATTAATTTTAGATTCTGGAGACAGAAATGTTCCGTATCAATTAATTCTCTGTCCCCACTCTTCACTTTAAATGTTTATCCAGAAAATCTGTGAATTTAATGCCAAGTAACTCAGTCCCTGTCTTTGATGGATGCTTTCTTTGATACCTATGTTCTAGTAGAGGGGTGTCAAACTCAAGGCCTGGGGGCTGGATCTTGCCGATGGGGTGCTTATAACTGGCCTGAACCAAAAATGGAGCTTGGAAGGCCACACATGGAATTGCCTCCTGTAGCCCTCTGCCAGTCAAAATGGAGCTCCATTTTCTCTGGCAGAGGCTGCAGTAGGCCATTGTGGCTGAAAACAGGGCCCAGGGGGCACAAATGGCAAACCCGAGCTTGATTTTCACTGGCAGAGGGATGAAAATGGAGCTCAGGAGCCTGTTTTTGCTGGTAGAGTGCTTGGGCCAGCACAGCCCCACTGACATGAATGACATCAATGTGGCCAGGCCCACCAGAGCCGCTGAGGTCAAACACAACCCAGATGTGACACCCATGTTCTAGTATATGAGAATGACCCACTACCAAACCACATCTTTTAAGAATAACTTATATGCAGAAGGAAATTGCTACATTTTGGTACCAGAAATATCAGTGAGAAAACTTATCATGGAAAATGGGTGCTTTCTCTTTCTTAATTGTAGTAACAACGTCATAAATTAAGCCATGCATACCTGTGTATTAATAGATATTTAGATGTGATTTGTTATAAATGGAGATTTGATCTCTATTTCAACTATTTCAACTTTACTAGGAAACTTGAAGTAAAGTATACTTTTACATAAAGTAAACCTAGACATCCTATTTTAGATATTCTTTTCTGGAGTTTTTGTCATTAGAGGAAAATATTTCAAGCTTCATGTGATTTACCAACAAGGTTCAGAATTTGACAATAAATTAATGATGTACTTACATAAGTCCGTCATGAAATGCGTGAGAAGGATCTTGAATGAAAGCAATCGGACTAGAAGATGCAAAGAAGGAATAAATAATGCCAGCAATATTAATGTCTCCAAGCTGATGATACGTGTACCGAAAAGGAAGAGGCTCCTGAAAGTCCCATTGAAGGCTAGGATTCTTGCACTCCACTTCAGGAAATGCTATTAATAATAACTTCATGAATACTAACATCTTCCATGAGTGTCTTCTTTCTGTGTACAAATGCCTCCCTCTACAACAAGATGTTTGAAGTAGATCAGACAGATCTGCCTTCTGGAGATGTTTTTCAGACAAAACTAGAGAGTGCAACCTAGTAACAAATCAGCAGACAGAGCTTTGGGGCTCCCAGCCATGACTTGGAATAGGTTGGAGACAATAAATACCATTTTTCAGTGTGAGTTGGTCCTATTTTCATAGAGTCCCATAGGATTTTGGAGAGATGAATTGGTTAATTTCATAATGATAGTGAGACAGTCACATATATGAACAAGTTCAGAAGAACAAGAAAAAGGCTGGGAAGATGAAGAAGAAGCCATCTTTAATAGACATATGATTTTAAATGAGAAAGAAAAGGGTAAAAAGGAGAAGAAAATGAAGAATTTAAGTTAAAAAAAACAACCAAGAAAGGGAAAAATAAGGTGAAAAATCGATATAATGTCAGAAAGCAACAGAAAAGAGGAATACAACAGAGAGAGGGGTGGGTGGGTAAAAAGGTTAGATTTGACAAGGAAGGAAGGGAAAAAGTGAAGGGAAGTTATAAAGGCTTAAAACAAGATGCTAATAAACAGGTTTTTTTCAGAGATAAAGGGTAAAACAATCTAAAAAGAGATTCTGCAAAAGTACACAATATTGTATTGTAGTATTTGTATTTGAAATATGTGTTAATAGAATATTGTAGGGAATGTGTAATTAATGTGTAATTAGTTTAATTAACTAATTTGTTATGGAACATTATTTTTAATATACTATAAGATCATTATGTTTTATATTTTAAAATGTTATGTAGAATGTACTAAGCAGAATCAGAATAGAAACTATGCATTATTTTAAGTGTTAAATTTGGGGGGGAAATAGAAAGGTGTCATACTTCAACCAGTGATTACAGGAAAAAGTTTGTGTTAAAGAGAAAGATAAATGGATAATTGAAAAAGAACGGACAAAAGATACAAGTATAATGATTTAAATTGAGATTAAATAAATAAAATAGAATTCAGAGAGTGAAAAGAGGGGAGAAGATATATGGAAAATATATAATCTTAAATAAGATGAAATAGTATATAAGGTGAGCATGAATTTGATTTATGTCTGCACAAAAAGTTATAACCCGGGGTTAAGCCGCTTTCTAAAAAGAAGTTTTATGTTTTTATGTTATGTATTTTGTTAGCTTATGTTTGTTTATTGAGGATTAATGATGTTGGATAAGAACATATGAAATAGTAATAATATGAAATATAGTAATATGAAATACATGAAGGTATAAGTTTAATGAATAAAATTGAACAGAAATAAAGGAAGAAACAGTGAGAAGTTGGAAAAGAGTAATAAGATATGAAGTTGAATATATAAGATGCATATTAAATTGTGTGTGGAAACGTGATAATTTAGAACTATGTTGTACTTAAATGAGATGTCTTATTTGTTTTGTTAAGCAGTTTTTGGAAAATATGTTTTATGTTCTTATGCTTTATGTTTTGTTTGTTTGTGTATTCTCTTTGAAAATTAATAAAATTTGTTACAAATTTTTTTTTTTTTTGATAATTTGAATAGAATAACGACAAATTTTATATGGCAGAAGTAAAAAACCAAAGTTGCTGCAACATGCAGCAATAAAGATGAATATCCTACCCAAATTACTATTTCTTTTTCAAAATGCCCCTATAAAACTAGAAAAATGTTTTTTGATAATTTGAATAGAATAATGACAAATTTTATATGACAGAAGAAAAAATCCAAAGTTGCCGCAAGATGCTACTGAAAGAGAACGATTTGGCCCACCCGACTGGGAGTTGTATTACAGAGCTGCAATGCTAACATGGGTGAAAGATTGGATTAACCACAGAAATAAAATAATTTTGATATTAGAAGGCTAAAACTTATAGTCAGGTTGGCACACTTTCCTTTGGCAGGAGAAATCAAAGGGTTATAGTTATGTGCAAAGGCATAAAGTGAGACAGACTCTTTTAAACATATGGTATAAGATAAAAAGACAAATGTATACAGAAACACCTATCTGGCTATCAATATTGGAAGCATTGATGCATCCATCCCTCATGCATCAAGGGAAAATTATCACCTATGAAGAGATATTAAATGAAATAGGAGAACTACAAACTAGACAAGAGTTGAAGAACCAAGGAATTGAGGTGGAATGGTTTACCTATTTGCAACTCCAATCAAAATATTTAAAAGATGAGAATAATATTTAAGACAGACTCCACATTATTTCGTTGCTGTCTTCCTGACAGAAAGCATGCTTGATCTTCATGTATATATGCCTGGAAAATCTTCTTTAGTCTTTCTGCCAAAATGGCAGTAAAGGATATGTAATCCATGTTTAATAATGCAATTGGTCTATAATGCTTTGTATTTGTAACATTTTGACTCTCCTTTGATAGTAACACAATGTTGGATTCTGTCCACACCTGGGGTATTCCTTCCTTCCCCCATTGTATATCATTTACTCTGTTCTTCAGTGGTTGGAGAAGTTCATCCTCAAAGCACTTATAATATTCGCTCCAATATCCTTTGTGTCTTTTCCTGAGATTCTTTTCTTCTAAAAATGATTGTGCTGTATAAAATAGCCCCTCATTTTTAGATATCAATTCAGCCATGGCTCACTGAGTCACCTCATCAACTGACACTTAGAACCACTGTGTGCTTCTCAATCAAGTGTTGCAAAACTATCTACTCAAACAAACATAGGACCATTGAACCTCCAGTTCAACACAGTTATTCAAGGGTTTCAAAACTCTTATTTACTCAACCAGATTTATAATCATGAAACATGCTGTTCTAATCTGTCATTATACTGTATTGAATCTCCTAAAATGAGACTATTACACAAATTGGATATTAGCATGTATTGGAATTCTGATGGAATTTATTTGAATTTACTAGAATTATTTTTATGCCAGAGATTTCTTTGACCTTTGCTATTGAGAAGAAGGCATATGGCCAGCTTTTGAATTTACTCCATGTTTTGTAGGTGATGACTACAAGTGGTGCGCATGAGGGAATACACTCTGTCTGATTGCTTCAGAAAAAAAAAACCATAGAACTTCCCTGTTTAAACAAATTCTCATTTGTATTTAACTGCACTTCTTTTTATACATTCCAGTGCATATGTATTAAGATGACCAGTAAAGACAAATTTACAATGCACATTTAATCGATACATTTAGTCAGAGCTTTCCATAATATACTAAAATATGTCATTATATCAATAATGTCAATAAATATGTCAGTACATTATTTTGTGCTGTAATTTATATATTTTTATAGACTCCAGTTATAATTGCCTTCCAAAAGGAAAAACTCTTCCAAGGTATCCAAATCTCAGGGCACAAGGAAACACAGAACATCACTGTCTCTGTACATTGTTCTCTGACTTAAATGTCAAAGCGGGGAACTTTTCCAACATGTATATAAAAAGGATATCAGGCAATATTTCTTAAAACTTTTTCTTTATGAGCTGATGTTTATCATTCAGTTCAGGTCTCATCACAATGATAAAGCACTTGGGAAGAAAGATACACATTAATAATCCAGCACTGGAGGAGATCATGGAGAAGATCTCTACTGCCAATGTATATTTTCCCCTTGTGCTTAGATAGGTTGGAATAAAGCACAGCCAAACACTGCAGAAAACCAACATGCTGAAGGTGATGAATTTGGCTTCATTGAAACTGTCAGGTAAATTCCTAGCTAGAAAAGCAGCAGAAAAGCTAATCAGAGCAAGAAAACCCATAAAGCCCAAAACACAGTAGAACATGACTGAGTTTTCATTGCACTCCAGGATGATTTCTTCAGACATTGAAAGCACATCAAAATCTGGAAATGGTGGGGATGTTATCAGCCACACAGCACAAAAACTTAATTGAACAAGGGAACAGGATAGTAGAATGAAACTGACCATCCTTCCCCCCACCCATTTCCTCAATCTGGAACCAGGTTTGGTGGCCAAAAATGCTAGAACCACAACAAAGGTTTTTGCCAATACACAAGAAATTGCCACAGAAAAGATGAGACCAAAAGCTGGTTGTCGAAAGAGACAAACAAACATATTGGGCCTCCCAACAAATAGAAAGACACAAAAGAAAGCGAGGAGAAGAGAAATTAGCAGTGTATAAGTGAGATTCCGGTTGTTGGCTTTGACGATAGGAGTGTCTTTGTGTTTGATGAAGATTGTGATTACCAAAGTTGTCATTAAAGAAAAGCAAAGAGAAAGAACAGTCAGACTGATCCCCAAGGGTTCTTCATAGGACAAAAAAGTGATCCGCTTTGGAATGCACATATTTTTGCCAGGATTTGGATATTGATCTTCAGGACATGGAGAGCAGTCATCCTGGTCTGAAAAAGAACACAGTGCAATTGATACAGTTGATTGTAGACAGTCTATATACATAGGGTTTTATTTGAAGATTTCCTACCCTTTTCCTTTGATATCTTCCCCTCTGGACATAGACGACAATCATAGCAACAAAACCACTGTCCTTCTTTCTTGGCCTTGCTTTGTCCTGTCTTACAAGGATCATTACACAAAGATACAGGTAATGCCTATCAATGAATGCAGAAAAGTATTTTAAGATACAGAGAGGAAAGGAAGAGCTTGGAGAGTTTACGTGATGACCCGTAGTGTCTCAAAAATAACACAAAAACTCAAACAGGAACCAAGGTCTTGTAATGCCTTCAACTTAACTTTGCTGTTTTATTAGTCCCAGTTTAAATTCAGAAAGTAGATAATGAAGCAAAAGGAAACCAAAAACAAATCTCATTGACCAAGAGTTCCAAGGCAAACCAAGATAATTAATCACAAATTCCAGGAAGATAACTGGGGAGAGTCCATTGGAAGAATGCCAACTAAGATAAACCTCATCCAATGAAAGCACTAATTTGACTCCAGTGTCTGTGAACATGCAGTTCCAAACTCTTATACAGAGCTCACAGCTGCAACCTATGAGGAGGATCATTGCCCTCTTCTCCTGAGTAGACCATGTCTTTCCCTGATCCTTTCCTCCCTGCGTGCCCTAGGATGGATAGGGGATGGGCCTGGATCATCCTCTGATTGCTCAGCTGGCTTCTGCCCTTCCCCAGCCTCCTCCATCACTTCTGGAGCGACACTTCCACTCCCTGTTGGCTGTTCCGCCTCTTCCTTAGAGTCAGTCTCCACCAGGGGCATGACGGTTACATGGAATCAACAGATTAAAAAGAAAGTAATGTTATATCATAATTTTAGAAGTAGTTGCTCTGAAATTATAATTAATTAAATATCAACAATAATTGTATTTATGGCCATTGATAATCATGATCACCACTTTTCAAAGACAATTTCTGTGCTGGTTAGTTAAAGTTGGTTTTCACAACTTCTGAATTTTGAAGTCAGCAAACTGATGAAATCTAGCAGCTTTTACTTCAAAACCATGAAAACCATTGTCCATAATTAACAGGGAGCCAGGAAAGGATAAAACATTCAATAGCAATTGCTGGAAATGTTAAAAAAAAATAATCTTACTGATACCTTTCCTTCTCTAGGATATTTGTGCCTAGGTTAGTCAGAGATAATGCTCTGAGACTTTCATCAATACAGATATTTAAATGAAGACAGACATATCTAGATTTAAAAGAAACTAACCCTATTAAAGCCTAACGGCCATGTGATGGAATCCATAGAAATATTGAAGAACTTCTCTGCTGGAGCTGTGGGATCTATCACTCCAACTTTGATCCTAGCAAAAGATTGGTTTGGGAATGTGATCCAGTTGATAATATCAAAACCACCAATGAATTCTCCATTTTTATCAAAGGAGATCTTTTCACCAACACTGTTGTTGAAACTCACTCTTCTCAAAAAAGGATGAACCTGAAACAGAGGCAATCAAAGATGAACAAAGGGTGAAAAAAATTCATAATTGTATGTTTACAAAAACACATTTGAATGTTTTTGTAAACAAAGAAAATATAAGCACTTTTTTATTTTAGTTGTAGGCCAGTATCAAACAATTAACATAACAATCATTAACATAGAATTGCAAAATAAAGAGCCAGCAAAAAAAAAAAAAAGCTCTGTAGCTTAATTGCGAAAGCTACTTAAGCCAGATCACTTCTAATAAATATATAATAAATACTAGGATGTATAAAACTACCATATACCATAAGCACCCATTTCACACACCACCAAGGTAATATTTTAAAATGCAACAAACTAGGCTTCAGCAGTGTGTGAACTGAGAAATAAGAAGTAGAAATGATTTTTTTGAAAAGGCAGAGAAAGTGCAATCATATTTCCTGCATTTGCTGGATTATGACAAAGCAAAAAGAGTTCCTGGAAAACCATCTACTTCTGTTTCATTCACCATGCTAAAACCTTTGATAATGTGGATCACAACAATCTGTGGCAAGTTCTTTAAAAATAAGGAGTACCAAAACTCCATACCTGTCACCTGAGAAGGCTCATGTCAGCTCTGCCTGATTTGGCTTGGCACCTCACCTGTTTCCTGCCATCAAAGGCCAGAAAGGGGAGGAGAAAGCTGAAAATTCTGTGTGTGTGTCTGTGTGTGTGTGAGAGAGAGAGAGTGTGTGTGTGTGATGGGAAATCAGGAGGGGAAAACAACAAGTGAGAAAGACCTGCCAGATCCTGTTTGTACCAGCATCCCAAGCCCAAGCAACCTGAGTAATATGCGGATTATCCCCCAAATTTTAAATGTTCTCAAAACATGCTGACAAGCTCTGTTTCACTGGAAATGTGTGCATCTGTGTGTGTGTAATTGTGGGTGAACCTTTTTTGTACCTGGCAAATGTGGGTGAATTCAGAGCTGGCTTGATATTGCTACAATCAATACCTCTAGTAAAATAACCAAATGGAGTTAAGGGGCTTTCTTTCCTAAGGGATGAGGTTGGGCCAGGTCCAGTGGTGGGCTGTTGGATGATCAGCGAGGTTTAGGTGAATCCCTAGCTCCACCCACCTACCCATTGTGCTATGCATTCCCTAAATAAGTAACTTCCCCCCAGTCTAGGCTGCCCAGATGATTTCCATGCTGCTCTGCTATACTCATTGGAGCTGCCTGAGTCAATTAGCTGCTGTTTGAAGCTGCATTTCAGCACTAAAGTGGCTCATGACCAGCAAACTCCTTGTCAATAAAAGTGTATCCCCCCCTCTGGGCAGGTCTGACATCTTCATGTTAGCCAAAAATCAACGGTTAGAACTGGACATGGGACAACTGATTGCTTCAAAAGAGAGTAATAAGGACAACAAGGCTATCAGTGGTGGGATTCAAATTATTTTACTACTGGTTCTGTGGGCGTGGCTTGGTGTGCGTGGCAGGGGAATGATACTGTAAAATCTCCAGTCAGAGGTGGTATTTGCCTGTTCTCTGAACTACTCAAGATTTTCGCTACCGGTTCTCCAGAACTGGTCAGAACCTGCTGAATACCAAAGCACATCTTGTGAAATGCTAGGCTGGATGAATCACAAGACAGAATTAGGATTGCTGGTGGAAATATCAACAACCTGAGATATGCAGACGATACCACTTTAATGGTAGAAAGTGAAATGGTTCCCTTTTTTTTTAAATTAAAAAATACTGTTCAATTTTTTAAATTTTTTTTTTAAAATTTTTATTTTTTTGTTAAAATTTTAATCTCTTTTCTATCCTTAAATATCATGTTTAATTTTAAATTCTTTTTTCAATTTTTATATCTTTTTCAATTTCTTTTTTCAACTAAACATTTGAAAAATATAGTTTACTTACTTTAATTCTTTAGAAATTTTTAAATTCTTAATGATCTAAGAGAAAAAAATAAAAAACCACTGAAAAAGAGGAAGACACTTAAAACAGGAAAGATAGTGATGAATTGTTCAAGGGAACAAAGAACTCCTGTAAACTTTTAGCAACAGGGAAAACATTTAATTTTTTGGTTTTTTAGCAAACCAAAAAAAAGTAACTGAAATAGACACTGACATATAGTGACTTGCAAATATGTTTCAGCTTATGCCCACATAGCTCAAATACTTTGACAACCTAATGAGAAGAGAGGACTCATTGGAAAACACCCTGATGTTGTGAATGAGTGAAAGCAAAAGGAGAAGAGGATAGCAAAGAATGCTGTGGTGGGATTCAACTAATTTAACAACTGGTTTTTTCTAATGACCAATCGGGCAAGGCTGGGGGTGGGGTCATGTGACTGAGTGGGCATGGCCAACTCCATGTTATTCATGGCAAGGTGTGGCAGTGTGACAGGCTGAAGCAGTGGTGGTGATCACCGGAACCTTAGACTTACCTTTGTACAGCAACAGCCACAAGTGATTGTCCAATGCCTTTTCTCTTTCTAGGTCTCACTGTGAACAGTCAGGGTTTTCTAAAATATTTTAGCAGCAGGAAATGGTGGGCAGTTACTTATGGCCTTTGTTGGTACAGATGGGCACAACTCCAACTGGAGACTCCTGTCTTTGGCTGCTGCTGCAGCTTTCCTTGCACAAACAGCCTGAAGCCACTGCCTCTTTGCTGGCTCTAACAGCCTGCAGCCACTGCCTGGGGGTTGGACTTAATGATCTATGAGGTCCCTTCCAACTCTGGTATCTGTGCTAATGATCTGGAGACTACAGCCTCTTTTCTGGCACAAACAGCCTGCAGCCTCTGCCTCTTTGCTGAGGTAAAGGGTCTGCAGCTGCTGCCTCTTTGCTGGACTGAACCAAAATGGTTTTGTGCCAACAAAGAGGCAGCGGCTGCCATCTCAGTTTTGGCTGAACAAAGAGGCAGAGGCTGCAGGCAGTTCACACTGGTAAAGAGGTGAAGGAAGGCTCACCACGCAGGCAGATAGCTGAGCCACATGATTGGTAGTGGATAATGGTTAAAGAAGGCTTGGCAGGGAGCTGCACTGTGTGGAAGGCTGGGGTGAAGGCAGCCACGTGGAAGGGGCTGGGCCAGGATTTCAGAATTGATTGCAGCCTTGCAGGCACATCAGGCAGAGATCAGAGCAACTTAGCTGGGCCAGGGGCATCGTATGAGATGCCATGGTGAAGGCAGGCAACCTGTCTGGCCCACAGAGACCATGTGGTGGAGACAAGTGAGGGAGCCAGAAAACAACAGTAGCTATGCTGCAGGAATGATTCTAGGCTCCAACCAAGTTGGGTGGGGTGAGATGAGGAGTGATGGGGCAGGGTGAGGTGGGGCAAGTCAGTGATGTGATTTGCCAGTTCTCCGAACTGCACAAAAGCAACCAGTTTTCTTGAACCTGCAAAAACTGACTGAATCCTACCTCTCAAAGAATGAGATGGCTAAATAGTGTCATCAGCACAATGAACATTAATTTGGGCAAATTTGGGAAGACAGTGGATGACAGGGGGGTGGGATTGGCATGCTATGGTTCATGGGATTTCAAGACTCAGACAAGACTTAGTGACTCGATACCAGTACAATAATTGGGGCAGTACAGCAACCCTTAAGTACAGGTGTTCATTGTTCAGTGACTGCTTGTTCAGAAACCATCTGAAATCGTAACAGTGCAGAACAAGTGGTACTTATGACTTCCTTACTGTGCTCATATGAACACAATCCTGGAAGTTAATAATTGGCCTCGATTTCTGACTGTCATGGCAACCTACAGTTACTTGATTGTGATTTACAACATATCTTACTGGGTTTCTACAAGCAAAGTCAATAGGAAAGCTAGAAGGAAATTGGCAGTAGTGATCACATGAAGTTCATGCTTTAAAAACTATGCAATCCTCACTTAACAATGGTAACTGGGGTCTTCCAGAACTGTTATTGCTAAACCGCATGGTCAAGGGATGTCACAACTTATAACTGCCTCACTTAGCAATGGAAATTGAACTTCCAAAGACCATAATAAAGCAAGGTCTGCCAGTTAAATTTACAACATGATGGAAGATAGATTTACTTTTAGAAATTAAAGTCTAAAATTAATTTTAAAAAGAATTTTAGGAAACTATATTCTATTTCAGAAATAAAGTCTCTAGAAGCCAGGGGTCTGCTACCTTAAACACTCAAAGAGCCATTTGGACCCATTTCCCACAGTAAAGAAAACACTAGGAGCCAATAATTGAACAACTGGTATGATAAGGTGGGAGTAACCCACTCAATGTACTCACTCCCACCCAGTCATGTCTACCCAGCCAGTCAGTAGGCCAGAGAACCAGTTGTTAAAATGCCTCACCTCTCTCCTCCCAGCCATTTCTTGCCACAACCCGCCCTGAGTGTGTTATTCAGCTTTCTCCCTCTCTCTATTTCTCTCTCTCTCTCTCTTTCTCTTGGTCTATCTGTGTCATTCTCAGTGTCTCTCTCTTATTCTGATTCTGGTTCTCCAGCACCTCATCTCTATCTGGGTCTTGCTGTCAGACAGAAAGTAGCAGGAAATGGCAGGCAGCTACTTCTGGACTTTGTTGGTGCTGGAAACACACTGGTCTGACGTGCAACAATTTCAAACCCCGCATGGCTTTGACATCAAAAGCCAGAAAAGGGAGGAGGTGGATCTCCCTCTCTCTCTCTCTCTCTCTCTCTCTCTCTGTCACTGTCTCTGTCTTTCTATCTCTCTCTTTCTCTGTCACTCTTTTTTTTCTTTCTCTCTCTCTCTTTGTTTTTCTCTTTTTCTTTCTCTTTCTCCGTTTCTCTCTCTCTCTTTCTCTGTCTCTCTTTGTCTCTCTCCATGTCTCACCATCTCTTTCTGTCTGTCTAACTCTGTCACTCAGTGTCTCTCTCTGATTCTGATTCTGGTTCTGCATCACCTCATCTCTATCTGGGTCTCGCTGTCACACCGACTGCAGCAGGAAATGACAAGCAGCTACTTCCGGCCTTTGTTGGTGCTGGAAACACACGACCTGCTCTCCACCCCAAGCCACTGGTCTGACCTGCAACAATGTCAAACCCCACATGGCTTTGTCATACCTGGGGGTGAAGGAACCCCTGAACTGGTACTGGGTGGAGGGAATCTAATGTTCAGAGACTGATGAATCAATTAACAGCATGCTGATGATCAACTGGTTGGCAGACAGCTGAAAATCATCTGGCATTGGGGAGGTGGGGCATCACAACACCAGCAGCCTGCTGGCTTGGTATAAAAAGTCAGTGACATCCAAGATGTGAGAACGAGCCACTGCCGCTGCTGTTACCAGGGCCAATGGGGCAGGATCACATTGTGGCTCTGCTTTGTAAAGGGCTCCAGGAGGAGGAGTGGACCCCGTCTCCTCCATTGTGAAGCACACCAAATTTCCTTGTGCTTTACAAGGTGCTGTATGAGCAGCAGGCAGGCCATGGAGGTGGCAACAGGAATTGTGTCAGGAGCTGCAGGGGAGGGCTAAAAGAGCTGCAGGTTGCTGACCCCAGAAATAAGTAGTGGGAATTCAGGACTGAAGGGCAGTGCCATTTCTTTTATTGGATACAGAGTCAGAGTCAACATCTGCAGGAGCTGCTGGAACTTGAAATCCAGCATTGATTGGATACATGATTTAATGGCTTAAATGTCCATCATTTGAAATTTATTATTTTTTCATCTCATGGGAGTTTATATATCTCACAAAAAGTAGGCTCAAAATATTATCCCACCTTGATCTTCTTTTATTAAGTGCACTGAGATATTAAAAAGACCTTCACTCCCTTCCCTTTTCCTCTTAGACCCATGTTCTTGGAAGCATATAAAGTTGCTCTCATTTCATTTGCTCCAAAAATAAGCATGTGTTGTTGTGAATAACTGGGTGTAGAAATGGTCTATGAAGAGGCCAGAACCCTATGCCTCATGAAAAGGGAACATCAGCCATGGTGACACAGTGGTTGGAATGCAGTACTACTTCTGCTGACTTCTGGCTCACTGGATCAAGGGTGACACAGCCTTCCATCCTCCCAAGGTTGGTAAAATGAGGACCCAGATTATTGGAGACAATATGCTGACTCTATAAACTGCTTAGAGAGGGCTTTAAAACACTGTGAAGTGATATATAAGTCTAAGTGCATATACAACAACCACAACAATACTAACAATAACGACAAAAACACAGCTTCAGCAAATGATGTGGAGGCAGTAAATCACCTCCTTCCATTTATTTATAGACTAAATTTATAGAAAAAGAATGGAATGTAGTGAGGAAGTGGAGTCCAAGGAAAAAGAGGATGCATTTCAGAGAAGTAAACGACAATTCAGTTTGGATATTATGTCTGAGAAAAAGAGGAGAAAGACAACCCCTCCCTAATAATTCATTGAGTAAATTTTAGATACAGATAATAGAGTGCTCAGATTGACAAGGTTTTATCTATAGGTATAAAACAAGAAGAAATCATCTTAGAATTATCATCTGTCATTTTTGGATTTGGGCTTGACAGGAAGTATATTCTAAGGAATTTTGTAGAATGCCCTTTACAATTTTAATATCAGCATATGAATATTTTTTTATTACTGAATACATTATTACATCTCACTTTTTGATTTTCAGGCATCAATATTCCTGGAGAATATTGTTTGCTAGAGTTTATGGACACATGATGCACAACTACAGATATATTGGTTTCTGCACTACTCTGATAACAGACTTACCTGCCACCACAATTGATTATGAAAATGTTTCCATCTTTCTTTCATCCTTATTGATACTCTGGATTTGAACAGAGAGAGAGATTGCAAAGCATGTGCCACAGCATAGACTGCATTGTAAATATTGTAACTCTGGCCACTCATTAGTGTTTCAAACACAGATGTGGGAAGATTCTGAAGCCTCTCCAGTCCAGTACATTTCTTCTCAGAGGTCTCCGTTTTTGAGTTTGGAAAGAAACAATTGAATGCCTGTTCCCAAAAATCTTTCCGAAAATGATCATTCTGGTTGTTGTTTGGATTCAAGTTTTGAAGAAATTCTTGGAAGTCTTGGATCTGCTTTGTGTGAACGGCAAAGGATAAAGCACCATGTAGGAAATGTATCTCCCAAGATTTTTGAATGGCAGTTGATGTATAATCTGTCTGAGCATTTATAAGCCAGATCTTATTCTTCTTTGGTATATCCTCCACTTCTGAAAACTGGAGTAAAGTTCTCAGATCTTGTAAGGACCTAATTTCACCATATAAGATTATCACATTGGCTGTGCTGTTCATGAGATCATGATATATATGTAATCCTTCATCTATAATATCAGTAAAATCACTGTTTAAAGCCACATTTGGTAACTCTGCTATGAATTCAGTGCAGATACCGTGCTTGGAAAATGTGGGGAGCACCTCCTGGAGGAATTTTTCTCCTTTTTCATCCTTTACTACAACAATTCCAATCCAGATCCATCTAAAATACAGCAGCAACTTCAGGAGGCCCTTGCTTTGGTGGGATTCATTTGGAAACATTTGTTGGAAGAACACTGCTTGAGTCTCTTTATCTATGACAGGAGCAAATCCATAGGTCAGCTACAAAAAAATAAACATATGAAATTGCAAACATCTATGTGACCTTCTGAAAACTTATACATTCATTTGATTCCTTCAGTATCTTTGACCTTATATACTGCAATTATGCAACCAGCTGGGTTTTTTTAGGAAATATCAACAAGATGTCACCCTTGTGGTATCTGTAAATACATTTTTCTGAAGTAGTCTCATTGTGAATATTTCAAATTTTAACCATAGTTTAGTGTCTGGAATTGGGGGATACCTTGCTGTGTCAGATATCCCCATTTCCTGTTCAGAATTACAATTGTTCATGCTGCTGCAATGATTCTATCAAACAGAAAATATTATCTAGGAATCTGAATGGTCACTCCTCTTTACAAAGAGAAGCATATAGATGTTTGTGGAATATAGATGATAATGTATATCTTCAGTACATCTTACCTGAGGTACTTTGTAGATGCACAATACAGTTGCCATGTGAAGAGAGATGTCAGATGCCCCAATGGCTGCAGTCAACATTTTTGCGATCCCACATTTGTAGTTAGGGATGATTTTTCCCTGAGTGAAAGGCAGCAACATTGAGGCAAAGTAAGTCCAACTTGGACTAAAATTGCTGTTAAAAATGTGGAAGCCCATTGTGACATTGGGTAGAATCTGGAGGTTTTCATTAATCTCTTTTACAGAAAAAGCTAAGGTCAGAATATGCTGGTAACTCTGAAAAACTATTCTGTAAGGCAAAATAAAACAACACAGTAAGAAAGGTTTGTTTCACATTATGTGCCTTGCAATCCTTCAGTAATGCATATTTTGTGGAAAGTATTTAATAATTCTTATTTCTATGTTCTACTATTATATGCAAAAGGAAATTGCTACTTTTTGGTTCCTGAAATATCAGAGAAAACTTATCATGGAAAATATGTGTTTTCCCTTCCTTAACTGCAGTAACAGCTTCATAAATAGAAGCATACATATATGTATATTAATAGATATTAAGATGTGATTTGTTATAAATGGAGGTTTGATCTCTATTTTAACTATTTCAACTTTACTTGGAAATTTGAAGTAAAATATAATTTACATGAAATTATAGACATCCTATTTTAGATATTCTTTTCTGGAGTTTTTGTCATTAGAGGAAAATATTTCAAGCTTCATGTGATTTACCAACAAGGTTCAGAACTTGACAATAAATTAATGATGTACTTACATAAGTCCATCATGAAATGCCTGAGAAGGATCTTGAATGAAAACAATGGGACTAGAAAATGCAAGGAAAGCAGAAATAATGCCAGCAATATTAATGTCTCCAAGCTGATGATAGGTGTACTGAATAGGAAGAGGCTCCTGAAAGTCACATTGAAGGGTAGGAGTCTTACACTCCACTTCAGGCAGTGCTATTAATAGTAATTTCATGAATACTAACATCTTCCATGAGAGTCTTGTTTCTGTGTACAAATGCCTCACTCTACAACAAGATGTTTGAAGTAGATTAGTCAGATCTGCCTTCTGGAGATGTTTTTCAGAAAAAAATTAGAGAGTGCAACATAGTAATAAATCAGCAGACAGAGCTTTGGGGCTCCCAGCCATGAGTTGGAATAAGATGGGGACAATAAATAATATTATTAGGTGGTCCTATTTTCATAGAGTCCCATAGGATTTGGGGGAGATGAATTGGATAATTCCATAATGATAGTGAGACAGTCACATATATGAACAAGTTCAAAACATGTGAGGACTTGGAGAGGCAGGAATGCATGAGCCACAAGACAAAAATAAAATAAAATCGTTAGATCCATAAAGTTAAATGGATATGTAAATATATGTATGTGTAAAGGCATTACTATAATTCTATTCCATTCCATTCCATTCCATTCTATTCTATTCTATTCTATTCTATTCTATTCTATTCTATTCTATTCTATTCTATTCTATTCTATTCTATTCTGCCTGTTACTCATTATGATATTGTAAGCATTCAATAATATTTAAAAGAGTCTTCACATTATTTCGTTGCTGTCTTTTTGACAGAAAGCCTGCTTGATCTTCGTGTATATACCTGTAAAATGTTCTTTAGTCTTTCTACCAAAATGGCAGCTAAGGGTTTGTAATCCATGTTTAATAATGCAATTGGTCTACAATTCTTTGTCTTTCTAACATTTTGACCCTCCTTTGGTAGCAACACAATGTCCACGTCTGGAATATTCCTTCTTTCCCCCATAGCATATCATTTACTCTGTTTGATAGTGGTTGGAGAAGTTCATCCTCAAACACTTATAATATTGGCTCCAATATCCTTTGTGTCTTTTTCTGAGATTCTTTTCTTCTATAAAAGATTGAACTATATAAAATAGCCCCTCCTAAGCATTTTACTAGCATCCCATACTGTCATTAAGCTTTTCGCTTTACCTATATTATTCTCAAAGTATTCTTGCAGTTCCTTTTTATAATCTATTAAAATCCTTTCTTTTTGTAGAATAGCTTCATTTAATCTCCATCTAAAACTCGAATACTTTGCTCTTAGAACCAGAAGTACAGTATTATGATCAGAAAAAGATTTAGGCAGAATGTCTACTTTCAGAATTTTATTTGTGAGATTTTTAGATATCAATTCTGCCATGGCTCACTGAGTTACCTGATCAACTGGCACTTAGAATCACTGTGTGTCTCTCATTCAAGTGTTGCAAAACTATCTATTCAAACAAACATATGACCATTGAACCAACGGTTCTATGCAGTTATTCAAGGGTTTCAAAACTCTTATCTACTCAACCAGATTTATGATCATGAAACATGCTGTTCTACTCAGTCATTATACTGCATTGAATCTTCTAAAAGGAGACTATTACACAAATTGGATATTAGCATGTATTGGAATTCTGATGGAATTTATTTGAATTTACTACAATTATTTTTTGTGCCAGATATTTCTTTCACCTTTCCTATCGAGGAGAAGGTATATGCCAGCTTTTAAATTTACACCATGATTTGTAGGTGATGACTACAAGTGTTGTGCATCAGGGAATACCCTCTGTCTGATTGCTTCAGAAAAAAAAAACATAGACCTTCCCTGTTTAAACAAATTCTTATTGGTATTTAACTGCACTTCTTTTTACACATTCCAGTGCATATGTATTAAGATGACCAGTAAAGACAAATTTGCAATTCACATTTAATCGATATATTTAGTCAGAGCTCTCCATAATATACTAAAATATGTCAGTATATCAATAATGTGAATAAATATTTCACTACTGTTAGGAATGTAAGTCTCCTAACAGTTATTTGGGTTGGAAATATATAAACGAGGATAGAAATTATCTTTAAGAGCATGCTAAAGCTGTAACTGGGTGTGGTTCCGAAAATGGCCGTAAGATGGAGCCAGAAACCTGGGTTGTTTAGAGTGCCTCAGTGAATCTCTGTTTCCTTCTGTTGGAGAGAATATTGCCATTCAGGGTTGCCATCTGGCCATTTTTCCGGCCAAATTCGAGACATGGCCATATAGAAGTCTGCTTGGCCTTGAAAAAAATGATGTCTCTGGCCAAATATATGTTGCTGGAAATTTGGCCGTATGAAAGTTGCTTGGTCGTGAAATGGAAATTTTGGCTGAATACCGGTTTTCAGTTCTGTGCCCACCAGCCCCAATTTGCGGCTATATGGCAGGTCTGACCTCATCCCCGGGGGTGGTGGTAAATCTTGCAGCAGCCTACGGGTGAGGGAAGTCTTCCCTCAGCAGTGACCTGAGGGAGAAAGGAACGTGGGGTGGGGGGAAAGCTCGCCTCAGCGGCTCCGCCATGAAGCGCCTCTTTCCGGCACGCCTCGCCTCACTGCTTTTTATATTTGCGCTTTGTGAAGGAATCCTTAAAATACCCCTCCAAAAAATAATAATAATGAAAAAATAAATAAATCATGGTGCCTTGGCTTGCTTGCCCCTTGGCCGAGGACCATGCCCGGAGCGGCATCAGGGAAGGAAATTCCTGCCCAATTAATCACGCCCGACCCTCCGTGCAAAAGCAAAAAAGCTCCTTTTTTTATTCTTGCAAGCTCCTTTTGTTGTTGTTGTTGTTGTTGTTGTTGTTGTTGAAATTTTCAAGCTCCTTTTATTTATTTTTGCAAGCTTCAGCATTTGTGTGTGTGTGTGTGTGTGTGTGTGTTTTGCAAACCGGGAACCTTTGCATCACTTTCTCCCCATTGCAATTATTCTGATTTTTTATTTTTTATTTTTTAATTTAATTTTTCCCTCGGTCCACCCCTTTCCTTGATTCTTGCATGCTCCCGCCACCTTTGGAAAGCAGCAAAAGCAAAAGATACCCCCATGGCTGGAACCTTGGCGGCTTTTTCTCCCTCTCTCATCTCTTTCGCTCTCTTCTCCTCTTCGGGCAGCATCTGTCTTCACCTCTGCCTGGCGCCTTTTGTCCTGCATCCTTCTTCCTTGGCTGACAGCTCTGCCTCCGCAGCCACTGCTGCAGCTGCCGTCGCCGAGCCATGGCCCCGGTGCCCCTCCGGCGCCCCTCCAGCACCCCAGACAAGCGCAGGACTGCTTTTAGGGGCTCCCGCGAGGGTCTGGTTTGGGATCTGAGCCCCTTCATTCCACCCCACTCCAGCTTTCGGCTCACATGCCTCTCTCTCACTCTTGCTCCTTTTCCCCTCTGCCTGGAGATGCACCTCAGACACGCCCTGCGAGAACCCCACCCCACCCCAACCTTCGTGCAAGGGGCACAACTTGGGGAATGAGAGAGAATGAGCCAGCAAGGAGGAGGAGGAGAGGCAGCTGAGAAGCAGAGCACAGGGAGCGGGAGGTGCTGGAGATGGGTGAGTGCTGCACGTGATCCTAAGCCCCCTGGTTGACTATTTTTTTTATGATTTGATTATTTAAAAACAGTTAAAAAAAACAAAAAAAACAATATATCCTCATGTTACATTGCATAAAAAAATTTGGCTGGAAAATTTGGCCATGAGAGAAAATAATTTGGCCAAGTTTGGCCGTATTTTGACTTGAGTTCAGCTAAAGAGCCAAGCTATGATCTGGCAACCCTGTTGCCATTCCTTCTAATGACTGTTACTGATCATTGATATAAGTCTGTTACGGAATGGTTTTTTGATACTGGACTTTGATATTTGGATTATCCGTGGACTGGACACTGACTGATTTACCCGTGAATGACTTGAACTGCTTATCTTGGACTTTTCTTAACTGTTTACTGGAAGTAAAAACCTACATTTTACTATACAGTGTATCTGTATGCTGGTTGTGTGTTATTCTTCACCACTCTCACTACGTCTCCCTGTATGCGCTCATTCTCCTAATGGGAAATTACCTCAACACTGGTTATTGGCCCAGGCCATACCAGGCCCAGATAAATGAGAGTTGGTGTGAATGCACAGTACTGTATACAGACAGCTGTTTACTGTTTAATTGTGGGTTACTATCCTGGTAAAAGATGGTACAAGACACTTCAACAAGTCTATCACTGATAATCCGGTTGGATCGAACAAACTATGTTTCCTGGTCTATGAAGTGCAGCCTACTTCTGCTTAGAGAAGGGTTATGGACTGTAGTTCAAGATCCAGAAATGCTTGGAAATGCTTGGAAATGCTTGGGATCCAGAAAATGAGGACAATGCTAAGAAGCTTGCTGACTTTAAATGGAACAATGAACGAGTTCTTTGTATAACTGGACTAACACTGAGTGACCAGCAGCTAGTCCATATTTGTGGAGAAGAGTCTGCTGCTATGTGTTGGTTGTATTTGAAGAGGATTTATGTTCGTGACAGTGTAGGTGCACACATACATCTTACACATAAACTGTTTAGAGCACGTCTTCTGAAAGGTGGAGATATGTTAGCTCATTTGAACTTCATGAAAAGAACGTTTCAAGAGCTACATGAAAAGGAACTGATATTTTCAGAGCTGCATCAACTTTCCATCATTCTTTCCTCATTGGATGAAAGTTATGATTACGTATCTTCACTGGAAGTCCTGACCAAAGATAAATTGAAATTGACTGACATAACCAGAAGGTTGTTAGAAGAAGCAAGAAGACGACTGGACAGGGACCAACTGAGGAAGGAACAACCGCAAGAAGAGAATTTGTCTTCAACTGCCTATACAGTTAGGAAATATTTTTTTTGTGGGGCTAGAGGACATATAGCTAGATTGTGTAAGAAGGGAAAACAACAGAATACTGGTAATCACCAGAAGGCCAAGAAGAATGTTAGTTTAGCTATGTCTAGCAATTCAACAGTAAACCATGATTTGTGGGTTGTTGATAGTGAAGCATCTCAATGCATTACTAAAAAAAATAGAGAGAGGTTTGTAAAGATGTCCACGAATAAGCAACATGTATCATTGGCAAATGGTTGGAAGATGAAAGCATCTGGTGAAGGTACTGCATATTGTTCATGTGTAAATGAGAATTTAACCATGTTTTATATACCTAAACTGAAATTTAATTTGTTATCAGTAACGGCTTTAGTTAATCTTGGTTATGTAGTAAACTTTAGGGGAGATAACTGTATAATAGAGAAAGAGGGTGAAAGTGTTACTGCTACTTTAGAGAATGATTTATATGTGATACATGATGATCAGTTGAAGATGGCTAACTCAGTTTATAACAAGGTTAAGCCACATGAAGAATGTATATGCTCACTGCGTAGACGTCTGGGGCACATTAATTTCAAAATGCTCAAACAAACTGTAAAATTGGCAGAGGGAGTAAAATTGAAACTCTGTACCAAGTATTTAAACTGTAATGCTTGTAGCCAGGATAACAGCAAAGTTACTCCAGCAAACAGATTTAATGGTTTTAAGACCAAAGAATCTTTAGAGGTTGTGTTTGGTGACATAATTGGTCCTAAGAAACCTAGTTTAGGAGGTGCCTGCTCTATTTTGAGTACAATGGACCATAACTCAAGATACGGTTTCTGCTATCTCATGAAAAACAAAACAGAAACATCCCAACATTTCTTTAACTGGCTAAGGTTTGCAGAGAGAAAAATGAGGAGTAAAGTAATTACTTTAGTTACTGATAATGGGACTAAGTTTGTTAACAAAAGGTTCCAAACTATGTTGAAACTGGCTGGTGTTGAGCATAAACGTTCTGCACCTTACAGACCACAACATAACTCGTTTGTAGAACGAAGACGGCAAACATTACAAGCCATGGCTCGCACTATGTTATCTGATTCAGGTTTGCCTGAAACACTGTGGGGTGAAGCCATAATACATAGTAATCATGTTTTAAACAATGTAGTTAACAAACTGGTGAATTGCCATTCACTCGTTGGCATGGCAGAAAACCAAATTTAAGTTATCTACACACATTTGGAGCTCCAGCATGGGTGCATATTCCCTTAAAAGTAAGACTGAAAGGGCAACATAGAGCTAAGAAGTTATTTTTTGTAGGTTATGAGGCCAACCATAGATTGCTTAGATGTTGGGATCCAGGCACAGCTCATGTTCACTGTAGTGCTAGTGCAAAATTTCTTGAGCAAGTTGGGTGGGATAAACTGGAACAGGAATCCAGCAATGATATTATTATTTTTATTATTTTGAAAATTTTTATTGATTTTTAAGAACAAACATAAACAAGCAAAACATAAAAAATGAAAACATAAAACATCTTTTTTGAAAGCGGCATGATCCCGGGTTACATCCGTTCGTACAGACTCAAATTCAAGTTCATGCTCATTTTTATATTCCATTTCATATCTTATTACTATTCTACATTTTCTATATAGCTTCTCCCCTCTTTTAACTTCCCTAATTTTATTTTATTTTATTTATTTATTTATTTATTCAAATTGTTATATTTATATTCTCTGTTTCAACTATCTACTATCTTTTCTCATTAAACGAAATTTCTCCTGTAATCACTGATTGGAGTATGATGCCTTTATATCTTTCCCCTAAAATTATAACACTTAATATAATACATAACTTCCATTCGGATTCTGCTTGGTACACTCTAAAGCTACACATTGTATTTTAAAAAAAGAAAAAATTATAAATGTATAATATGATTAAAACAACAACCCATTCCATTTCAATTCTATCATTAATATTAATATTCATTTAAATCTTAACATTTTACACATTACTTTTCAGATAGATATCATGTTCCTACAGGGACACTTATAAACATTCCATAGTTAGTTCCCCCCACTTCACTTATATTTTATAAAACACTGAGTAATTAAAATGTTCCCGTTCCTTCTTAGTTCAATTCTCTCATTTATTTTATTTCATTTATTTTGTTCACAAAAGTTTCACTAATTTACATTGACTATTTTATCCCTCTTTTTAATCATATGTTGTTTCCCAATTTTCTAAGATTATTTCTATTACAAATATAACAATACAATCTTATATACCTTCACAGAATCCCTTTTTCAGTTAATTTTCACTCATTATCCCTGAATAGGTCCTGTTTCTTTACATCTTGCTCCAAACCTTTGTAACTTCTCTTCCTTTCCTTGTTCCCCTTCTTTTCTCTCTCCTTTGTAGCCCCCTGTCTCTCCACCTCCATTTCCCTCTTCTGTATTGCCCTTTTCTGTTGCTTTCCAACATTATATCCACTTTTCAAATTATTTTTCCCTTTTTTGGCTGTTTTTTTAAGTCTTAAATTCTCCATTCTTTTTCCCCCCCTTTCCCCTTTCTTCCCTAGATAAAGTTACTTGTTCATGGCTTCTTCTTTGTCCCAATCTTCTTGTTGCACAGTCTTTTCTTGTAATTTCTTGTAGTTACAGATCACCATTTCTAAGAATTGAAAAACAGAGCCAAAGGAGCCCTTTCCTTCTTGTACCTCTTCTTTATATTTTTTAAATTCCATTTTCAGTTTATCCAAGGTTAATGCCATTGTAGAATTTTTTAAACAACAACCCAATTGTTTTTAGTCATTCAAATATAATATCCAAAAATCCAAAAGTCACCAAGCAATCCAAATACAAACAAATTGTTTCTTTTTACACTTTCTTCTTTTCTCACTTTCTATTCCTGGGGTTACTATTTAGTTACAAAGTTCCAGTTAAAATATATCTTTTAGAAGTCATATTAAGATTTAATTTTAGATTCTTTTTAAGTACAGGCAATCACCTCCTTCCAGATCTTGCCCTTATTCTTTTCCTCCCCCTTCCTGCTTATAAAAAAAGGATTTGTTAGTGTCAAGAAATCTTTGTTGTCCCTTTGGCAATTAATTATATTTTCAGCTTAATGCCTATTAGTGCCAAAGTGGATTTTTCCAAATTCTTGTTCAACTCTCTTTGTTGTCAATGTAAGGAAGGAGAGAGAAGGAAAAAAAAAACTTTCCCTTTTCACTTTCATTCGCTGCTTCCGACTCTTCTTTGGGAGCAATGTTATCTTTTATAAAATTTAAATTCCAGGGTACCTTAGTTGTTGCTTTTTATCCCAGTCAGCCAAAACTTTCATTTCTTAACTTCCTCCTGCACTTTCTTTTACGGTTCAGTCCTTCTTTGAGGCGGCCATCTCT